AGTTTGGCTCAGCCTGTTTACCCCTGCCTCAAGATAGGCAAGACGAGTCACCATATTTACAAATTGATCACCATCAACAGTTTCGACGAGTGCCTTCAATACAACAACTTTTTCCCTCAGTTCTGCGTTGCCACCAGCCATCTTTCACGACATTCAACAAATGAATGTCGTGTCTTCGCCCCGATCCAGCCACTTCTCTAATACCAGTTGTCACAGGGGTGATTTATGTCACTCGAATCTGCCCGAGGTTCGCCACCGTGCGGCAGTCAAGCCCAGCCTTGACTTCAGTCTTTCCAACACTTAGATTTATTTTAGGGACTTTTGAGACTTAGAAAAATTTAGGCGGAAAGTAAGGTAAAGGCACACACGAAATTTACGGGAATTTCTTCCCAACTCGTATCAATATGTGAATGCAAGAACACAAAGACGCCAACCCTATGGCCAAGAACAAAGAACTCCCTAGTTCCCTGCCCCAAAACGAAATTCCCACCCTTAGGAATTACTCTTAGACGTTCTTGGCTAACACTTGCCACAAGACTAAGTTTTCTGCCCATTTGGGACAGCCTTATGCACATATTTATAGAGCAGGCTGCCTAATTACACTTGGCAGCATTTAGACAATCAGTTGACAAGCCCCAACTGATGAGAAAACATAGGGAACATGCTAAAAACGTGTATCACTAATCCACACAATCAGCCATGATCTAAAAACATGCCTCCACTTAGCCCCATGATCAGTCATGCTTGAATGGGGTAGTTGTAACGGCTCAACTGCCCTGTCATGTGCACTGCATGTGCTTGTTTTAGCCAGCTGCTGCACGCCCAAGGCTGGCATTGCGCCCAGCCTTGTCCTTTGACACTGCTCCACCCCAATGTTATGACCACAGCTTGTCGCATATGGACTTAGCCGCAAGGGCCCGTTGCTACAGTTGCCCGTCTATATCAAGTCGCCCTCAATTTGATCAAATCTGCTCACATTAATGACATTGCTTGTCTCGTATTGCCTTGCCTTGTTCCATGTCTTGGCCTCTACTTTGAGATGGCTTTGCTTTGCCATTGTTATGCCAACCCGCACGTCCATATGAAATGCGCCTTGCCTCCGTCAAGTATGATTGTCAACCCCGCATAGTCCGTCATGCCGAGCTGACCATCATGATGTTGCCTTATTTTTTGAATTGTGTGCCAATGCCATCATGAAAATCCTTGTCGCAACCCACATCTTTCAAGGAACTTCGTCAAGGGGCTAACAGTAGTCCTTACGTGCGACAAGTACGGGCATGCAAAAGATTTCTATGAGACAATCTAAAGTTCAAGATGTCACGATTACATGTGAAATGTATCAGAATGCAAAATATGCTAGCAGCCAATCTAATGTCTATGTTCAATATGTCACGCAAGGGCGAACCCGCGTAGGGTCAAGAGGGTTCAAATGAACCCGCTTTGCCGAATTTTTTTGATATTTTATACTGGTTTATGGAAAATAACGATATATATATAATTGAATACACTTGAACAAAGGTGATCTTGTGGAAAGATGGTCAAGCGGGTTCAAACTTTATTGCAGGTTGGGTGAACGAAACCTGGTTGTAGCAAATTTTTTTCATATCGTAGTTCTTTTTCCATCTTACCGTGTATGGCACATGCTTTTTATTCCGTCAATGCTAAGGGCCTAATATTGTAGCTAGCTTTCAAGGTGTGTTTGGTATAACGTGAAAAATATTTTCCAAGAAAATGTCTCATTTTCCGGTGTTTGGTCAAGAGTATTCATAAATAATTTAGATACAATAAATATGAAACCATAAACTTTCGAACCAATAACCTTCCGAACCCACAAATTTCATAAACTTCTGAACCGCTAAATATTCGAACCCGTAAACTCTATAATTTCTAAACCCGCAAACTTCCAAACACATAAAGCTCTGAACTCATAACTTTGGAACTCGTAAAATTTCAAACCTGCAAACTAAAAAATAAAAAAAAGAACTGAAAATATAAAAAATATGTATATTTTTTGCCGCGGGCAGAAAAACAAAAAACAAAAAACATAAAACATAAAATTGAAAATACAAAAAAAAGTAAAAAAAATGGCGGGAGGGGGTTACGGGGTTGGGGTGGGTGGCGGGTCACGCAGAAAACGAAAACAACAGAAAATTGAAGTTGGAGGGAGTTGGGGTTAGATGTGAGGGTAGGTGGAGTTTTTGGAAAATATTTTTCTAACTTTTTCTAGAGAAGTCTCCAATTTTCGGAAAATGTGATATCTAGGAAAATATTTTCCAAACCATTTTCTACAATCAAACAGTGAAAAATGAAAAAATATTTTCCGTCATACCAACACACCCTTAGTGTATTTTTTCCCTTTTTTCTTTTTACATTATGAAGACCTAGCTAATTAGCTAGCTGGTTATTCTTTTTTCCCCCCTTGTTAGCTAATTAGCTTATTTCCCTTACTTACAGGAGTTATTGTACCGTCTATTTTACTTCAAAATTCAAATGAGCAACAAAATTTTACAAAGTGAAATCTTACATTAATCTTGCTAAAATACCAAGTGCAGTCATTAAAATTATTTATAATTTGTTAGTTCCTCTTAAATTAATTTATGCTAAATTATTTATTTATATTATGTTGAAACTATTAGTTTACTCTATAAGCTCTCTTCTCTATAGTATGTATCAGTTTATTTTAAGTTATACTCACTTTTTAAGTTTGTTGTCTTTTGTTTGTGAATTAACGACTTTGTTCTTTATCAATAAAAAAAAAAAGATTTTAGATTTTGTCAAATAAATTGGGAAAATAGAATTCTTATTATATTTCTTACGCAACTTTTGAAGAAAAATAGCAAAACGAATGTTGATCTCAATTTATTAAAATTGTTCATTTTGTGGTAGCACTATGATAAGAGCGACACACATCTCGCTTGCTAGAACCACCCTTATAGTCGCTTAACATCTTTTTTTCGTTGAACCCGTTTGCGTAAAATTTTGAATCCGTTATTGATATCACGATTTAAATTGCTGTGCATGAATTCGAATATAAGTTATCTCATGATCAATAGTGCATAATGTGGCATCTCATACTTGTTTGCTGCCTATGCCAAAAAATGGGAGTAGTATGTGAGAAAACAGGAACTTTTGTTTGTTTAAAACTTAGAAAAATATGAAAGAAAAAAAAGCAAAACACACAGTTTACCCATCGATCTTGCAACGAAATCTCTGTTACATACCTTTCATTTACAGAAAACCTTTCACACTCATTCTCTCAAAAGTGTCTCTACATACACTACTTTTGTGCTTGACCATTTTTTCACATAATGCGAAAGTCACACCCTAATAGGGTAGTGACACGTGTTATTGACTTTAAAAAGGAAAAAACCATTAGGAGTTACAATTAAACCCCATCTTCTTCATCTTCCCACATTCTATCTTAAGCACGATTGTTGCCGCTACCATGGTTGTTTGTGAGAAATTTTTCATCAATATCAAAATTCAACCACACTATCTAAACAAGTAGCCGAAAAAAATCGAGCAACAAATTGAGTTCAACAACCCAATAATCAAAAAGACTCAATTGTACTTTTAAGCTTTTACAATACCCCAACAATGGTGGATTCTTGATTTTTTACCAAACCTTCAATACTATTGTTAAGGATTTTAAATCTATCACAAATAAATAGTTTTCACAATATTTGGACAATAAATCAACAAAAACAGCTCAAATTTTAGATCTGAAATTTTATGTCTTTAAAAAATTATATGCAGGAAAGAAGATGAGGGGGAGGGTGGTCTGAGTAAGAAGATGGGGGAGGGGTTCGTTCGAAAGAAGATGAGGGGGAGGGTGGTCTGAGGAAGAGGATGGGGGGAGGGGTTCGTTCCTGTGGGGAAGCGGGAGAAAATATGGGATTTTTTACGGGCTTCACGCGCGTTTTTTGTGTGTAAGCACGTAAGTGCTACCTGGTCAAAAGTAGTGTCTTATACACACTTTTAAAAGGTTGAGTGCGTAAAAAAAAATTCGTGAACGAGAGGTGTATAACAGAGATCTCCTGCAAGGTTGATGGGTAAACTATATATTTTGCCAAGAAAAATAATCTTCTAAAAATGAATGGTAAAAATTGCACATGGTGCCCTATTTGGTCGCCCCCAATTTAACCTGTACCCACTTTTTAAAATTTTTTTAACTGGTACCCTAAGTTTAGATAACTTCAGGCCTTCTCCTCCCCCTTCTCCTTCTTCTCATCCTCCTCATTCGCTATGAAAATAAAGGGTGACGGTGAATTCATATGGTATTTGTGAGCATAATTTATGGTAATTTTTGGTGTTTTACAGTGGTGAGTTGTTGTGTGTGTGTTTTTTTTTTTTTTAAAACTACTGCTTAGGGTTTCTTCTTCTTATTCTTAATTGCAAAATGAGTTTGTTAGACTTATTGTTATTTTGACAAATTGTTGATTGTTGTTCTTGATGATATTTGGAGGTTATGTTTCAAATTTGAGCTCATTTGGAATAGATTTAGATGTTAAATCGTGTGTTGGATTGATGGAATTCGAAGAACAAATTTCTATTTCTAGCAATTTGCACTTCAGACCTACGCGACCTTGCATAAAAACATTGATTGCTATTCAAATCTATTTGGCCTTAATTGCATCTGAAATGTAATTTGTTCACTTCAGACCTATTTGGGCTAAAGTGAATGAAAACTTTGGCTGCAATTCAGACTTATTTGGCTTTAAGTGCATTGGAAGTGCAATTTTTGCACATCTGAAGTACAACTTTTTCACTTCAAGCCTCTTTGACCGTAAGTGCCCGAAAACATTTGTTGCACTTCAGACCTATTTGACCGTAAGTGCACCTTAAGTGCAATTTTTGCACTTTCGAGAGTTTAGATTTAATTAGTGTTAAGTGTATTTCATTTTTAGACTAATTTATTTTTAATGTCAGTCCCGATAAGTCTAAAGTTAGATACTAAAGTGTGCAGGCTTGCAAAGTTTTGTACAAACCCCTCAAAATGTCGGACCATAGAAAAAAAGAAATTTCGGATCCGACCCGAAAGTTCTTTCATGCTTTTATTCAAAAACCGTGTGCTTACAAATCCACAAATTCAAAAAATTCCCTTTCCCGGCAAAGCCATTACTCTTGCAGACCTTCCATGGAAGAGGAGGATGCGAATCGGCGGCATAAAAAAGGTAAAAACACTTCCTGTAACTGTGAGGAACAGCATCTATATGCTATTTAGGGTTCAATTTTAGGCCTTTCATTGTTTTATCTGGTATACAATATTTCTGAAATCCACGTTCTTTTTTTTGTACTCAGTGCGGGGGCGATTACCTATCCAAGGCATGGAATCGGTAATAGCTACAGTCAGCGGATACCACGGTACCGAGCGATTTAATCTCATCAAACTGATAGACAAGAGCGGTGCAAGTTATGTCGGTTCAATGAACCAGTCGACCACTCATTTGGTATGTCAGTCTTTCACAATCCGAATTCAACTATTAATCAGAAGCTTTCATAAACTCTATTTGTTATGTAAAAAGAGGAATTCTATTGGATTCTGCAAAGAATTGAAAGTGTAAAACATTTAGGATTTGAACTTTATAGGTTTGAGTTAAGGAGTTTAAATCCCATTTGATTTACTGTATATTAATTGTACTTAATTAGTGAAACTTTAACACATATACAGGTTCTGAGCCAAAGCCACTGGGTTCGGATGAGCCCATAATATATACACTACATCTGCCCCTGAACATCTCATATTTCATTAAGTACAATAGAAGAAAACATAGTATTTTGGTTCAATAAATCTCTATACTGTAATCCTCCCCCAAAAATTAAAATTAGAACCTTTGGGTACAATGGGATAGTCTAGTGGACAGGAAGGAAGAAGCCACAATAACAACCATGGTATCACGAGTTCAAATCTCAGTGGCTATTGTTGCCCGGTTGGGCCTTATATGTTAGGTAAACCATCTTTAAAATAAATCTAATCATAAGCATAATCCGCCTAGGTTGATTTTCAATGCTATAACTGGAGCTTTGGTGGTTTTGTTCACCTTACAAGTTGCAACATACAACTATCATTAGTGGAGTTATTTGTCACGCCCCAAACCTGGGGAGGCGTGGCCGGCACCCGGTGCCCTACTCGGCCCGAGCGTACCACTCTGTAATCGTGACTGTGAAGGGGTATCCCTCAACTTAGGCCGATGAGGCTTACCTGCAAGCTTACAACACCAATCGAGGCCAATGGGGCCGTATTTTGAATCATTTGAAAATAATGTCTCTCCCCATCTGAGGGGTAAATATACCCAAAAGCTCATATACATAATTGTGCAGGGCGATGAGGCCGCCATGAATGTCCCCAACCAGCAATGCCTAACTGAACATATACACACGACTGGCAAGGCCACAATACTGATATACAAAATACGCAGGACTCGTCTACAAGCCTCTAGAGATAACTGAACTGTATCATGGTCGGGACAGGGCCTCGACCTACCCATCAAACCTGTATATATAAAATGGACTCCAAGATCTAGACATGGTAACTCCGAGGAAGTGGAACTTACCAACCAAGCTGATGTTTGACTCTGTCTACTGGGATGGTCTATCTAGCTGTCTATCAGGACCTGCATGCATGAAATGCCGCGTCCCCAGCAAAAGGGACGTCGGTACGAAATAATGTACCGAGTATGTAAGGCAACAGAATAACTGAAAGCTGAAACTGAACTAATAATATAATAACTGAAAGTAACTAGGAGTCAAACATGATCCGAAGATATGCTTACCTGCTGATACTGACTCAACTCTCTCAATATAGTAAGTAAAATAGCTGTCCGACCCTATAAGGCTCGGTACGTGTAACTGCTCTGCCATAGTAGGCTCGCTCATAGGCGCTTGGCCATGCTAGGCTCTGTATCTCGGCCATTCTGGGCTCGCTCATAGGCGCTTGGCCACAGTAGGCTCGGTATATAACTTACCATCTGATCAGAGGTTACCCAATAGGGGCCTGCCCACCGATTATAACTCGATGGTGGTGAAAATACTGTAATACTACCCAATAGGGGCCTACCCATCGATTATAGCCCGATGATGGTGAAAATACTGTAATACTGTATATATAAAGTCTCGATATGGGAGAATACTGTAAATTATGAGATTAGGATAATGTTCATAAATCCAGGAATACGAACTTCTCTTTCTCGATATCAAACGCATGTAGTTAAGAGATCTTGCCAAAATGAAGGAAGGGTTTAGCCTTAACATACCTTAACCCCGTTGAGTCCTTAATACCTTCCAAACAGAGTTGTGAAAAACGCTCACTTCAGCGCTTAAAGTGCGAAGCGAGACCTCAGGTGCTTCTGTGATGTGAAGCGTAGCAGGTTGAATAAAGCGAGCGCTTCTGCAAAAAAAGCGAGAAGCGTAAAAGCGACAGAAACGAGCTCTTCTACATATTAGGGGCTGCTAACGTTAAAAATTAAAAAAGTTCATCAAGTTTAAGCCCAGGTATGTGATTTCTTCTTCCTCCTCCTCCTCCTCCTTTTTTTTCTTTTTCTTTCACTGTTTCAGTCCCAGAGTAGCAGCGAAATGCTGGCATTTTTTTTCCCTTCAATTCTTCTTCTTCTTTCACTGTTTCAGTGATTAATTGCAGCGAAATGCTGCCCAATTTTTTTCGTTTCGATTACTGCCATTTTTTCGTATACTTCCATTTTTTTCATTTCATTTAATCTTTTAGAAGAATAGGATGCTCATTTTGTGCTTTAATTGATGCTACTCTTTAGTTTTTACATTGAAGTATTGAACATTTCCTTACAGTTACATGTGTTGTCTATGCAGTATTTATTTTAATAATATTTTTTTTTAAATTCCGCTTCACTTCAAATAAGCGAGCGCTTCGTTTCTCGCTTTAAGCGAAAAGGGGCTTGTCGCTTTTCCTTGCTTCACGCTCTTCACAACACTACTTCCAAGCAACTCTTCAAACAACTCCACTTAATCTACCATAGCATAAGGAGATTCAAAATTAGTGCGTAAAGGCTAAGTCCGTAACTTAAGCTAGTAGCTCGTTTATGTAAATTCGGCAGCATCTCCCCTCTAACAAGGGCCTCCTCCAATACCATATACCAACAACAACAACCAGAGAAATCTAGCAACATATACGTATCAGTAACAAGACACTATATAACAACAACGAGTCACAACTACTTCACGACGAGCGGCAAGCTCCAATTAGAATCCGTTTACCCTATATCACCCCTTATAGACTTCTTACTTTAACTTAACCGTATCATTAACATGATAATGAAGCCAGTCATCAATGATTCCCGCCTTATACCATATATTTATAACAAAGGAAACAATCCACAACTCCAACTATCCTTAATTAGAAACTTTATTCACTAGTTCATGTCTAGTCCATCCATTTAACTTAATCAACATCAAGATAACCTTAAGCACATGCGAGAACACAATATACATACCTCCTATAGTAGCTTCAAGTCGAAATCCAAGTTATATTTAGCTTACAACAGTCTTAAATAGCAGTACAACACCATAGAAGTGGCTTAAGTTAATCTTCACTTCCATTCTCAAGTTTCATATGTTTCTTTCATCAATTAACTTGATAAACATATAGACATGCATAACAATATAAACCATATCATAATCAAGTTATTTTCTCCAATTTCCAGCCATAACAACATATATATATATATATAGCCTTAAAACAACCCAACAAATATATATATAGCCTTAAAACAACCCAACAAAAGATAACTACATCTCTTCCCCTTTTAAGTGCTATTTTGTAATCTTTCACTCCAACACCACAACCAACATGTAATTAACCTTAAACACAATCAAAGGGATGTTAAACAAACCTTAGACAGTAGATACGATTCGAACCCTAAGCTTAACTTAGCTCACCATCATCCTTATTCACATCACAACACCATAGAGGGGTTATTCTTCACCTTTGGCTACATTTGATGTTGGATTATTGTGTATTTTTTTGGAATTTGTTTGGAGCCTTGGGGAAACTGTTTGGGAGGGTTTGGAGAGTGTGAGGATGGAAGGAGGTCAAAAAATGAGCAAAGCTCATCCCAAAAACGAGATAAAAATAGGTGTCGATCACCGACCAAGTGGGTCCCATAGGAGCTGTGTCACGCCCCAAAATCGAGGGACGCGACCGACGCTCCACCGGAGGACCCCAGTCAAGCGGACCTGGAATTGTCTTTCCTATCCCACGCGTTACCCCGTGATTTCAATATACATTATTCCTGTAAAATAGCCATTTATAACTTAAGCATAAACTTACAGCATGAATTCATTTCTACTTTTTATCATTACCAACATATGATTCCAAATACTTACAACATTTACCAACGTGGATCACGATTCCGAACCGTACCATTACTTACCCAAAATACATATGTACCCCACCCACATTGTGTCTACGGAGCCTCTAAGGATACAAAAGGGTGATACCATACTTGCTGGTAACAAGGCTCCGGCTATACCTTACACATGCCAAAACAAGACTCCGGAATAAAAGCGGCATGAGCCACGCAGGGCCCCGAGAGAAAAGGGGCTCACCAATTCAGCTGACGGAAAGTGAAGGAGTGCTACAGACGGTGGACTGGAGTACCTGCTATAGATCCACCTACAATCATATCACGAATGTAGCGCCCCCGGCAAAAGGGACGTCAGTACATTTGAATTGTACTGGTATGTATGAACAAACTTTACCCCAAGTAAACTCAAACAATACACGAGTAATGTACAGTTATAGAATCAACAATCAAATGCACATGAAAGGAACAACCAAAGTCAAACAAGTTTCACAATCTCTCCTTTTTCCCTTCCAACATCATTTCATTACATCAACGATTTCACATCTTTCACATATGTTCATTTCAATAGTGATTTCGATCACTTTTTCACCCTTATTATCTCGGCCACCCTTATCACCCCAACCCACAATTTATCATTTTGTGTTGCGGCGCGCAACCCGATCCCACCGGACAATCACATTTCACACAACAACAATAGTCCACAGTTCAATCACATGGCTTCAGGCCATCCGGAATATCATTTCACAACAACAATAACAATTCACAAAGAGTTTTCATTTGTATCAATTACGACTTCTTTCCATCATTTACTATATAGCCCTTACCACATAAACACATTTACACACACACATGGTTTGTATCCATTTATCTACACCATTATATCGGAACGTTTAACCAACAATGTTCAAGGCATATTAATCGCAAGAGTTCATGAAATAGGCCATCCTTCCTTAACACCCGTGAAGCAACCAAAATTCACAAATAGTCCACATAAGTAACACGTACCAAATACTCGTACACCAAACAAGGTGACTCTACAAAGGTCAAAGTTAGCCATACATACCTGGAATCGAACTTCCCCTTTCTACTTCTACTTTGGCTCACCAATAGCCTAG